AAAATCGTAAATGAATACTATTTTCTGAAGTTTCAAGATGAAATATTTTCATTAATACGCACATAGAGTGGATAATAAAATATTTTTATGCAGCCGTAAAACCCTGAAAAATGCCAAAAAACAAACAACGGAATTAAGACGCTGAGAAAGCTAAAAGAAGAAATACAAAATAAATATTTTTTCCCCTCTGCATTTTATACTATCATTATTAATAACCTCTTTCCCTGAACGACTGAGAGAATTTTCAGTTTTTTGTGTGGTGTGGCGTGGCAGCATACTAAAATGGAAATGATAATACAGGAGAAGTTTATTTGTCTCTTTTGATAAGATTTTTTTTTTCTTTATGTTGCCTTATCTTAATTTGTATAACAGCATGTAAGTAATTTAGTGTACGAAGTGTGACAAAGAGTCAGCAATATCAGAGACCATTATTCTGAGAGCAAGAAGATTAACAAATCAAAATACCAGAGCAGAATAGGAACGATAATTGACGAGATAATAGATATTGTTTTCAGAAAAAGCAAATAGTTCTACACTTAGTTTATCGACCTTAATTGTAGATTGCGAAATTGTTCCGGATAAGATAAAGCAGAGAGCTTTGGAAATACCAGCCTTCTATTGCCACGTTTGTCAGAAAAAAAATTATCTAAAGCATTCATTAAAGCATAACAGAATTCGTCCCATGCAAGGCAATAAACACAATAAGACACAAGAAGTCTGAAAATGTGGTGTCACTCACATCATATCAGCAGGGATAGCCCCGTGTTCACAGGGATAAAAAACATACACGGAAATCACATCAAAAGCAAGTTAAATTTTACTGGTGTGTGTATATTTTAGTTACATGTCTTTTTAGGTTGCAGATGATAAAGGAAGATAGTCATTTCGTATTATAAGAAGTAACGGTGGAGTAATGGATAGCGGCTTGGACTGAGGGATCGGAGAGTCGAGTTCGATTTCCAGTCAAATCCATTACATTCATTTACGTACTAATACCTTTTGGAAAGGTATAAATAGCAGGACAGACCGAGTTTTATATCCTTGGATTGCAACTGATCGACCATGGAAAGAAACGGCAAACTACTTCAGGAAAAAATCTGCCTCGTCAGTCATGTATCACGCATGGTATGATTGACTGAATGTGCTGATCGGAGGAGATGGCCCTCTTAAAGTTTAAATTGAATGTTTTAAATAAATAAAACCAGCGTAATTAAACTTCTCCCAGAATGCAACAGAAACATTTCCTTCCGGAATACTGACCTTGCGAATGGATTCATACTTTCACAGTGGTATTTGGTTTGTTCTCTTTTATGGTATATCAGCCTCAATGGCTTATTTAATGCCGACAATTTTTTATATTTTTTTTTATTGCTGGTAATATTTTTTTCCTCCCAAAGTCTATTTCTGGTAATATTTTTTTATTCAAAAATTTATTGCTGGTAAATTTGAAAAAATGTATTGCTTTAAAAATGTCTTACAGGTAATATTTTTTTTTACAAAGTATTTCTGGTATTAAAACCTATTTTTACACTTTCATAATGTTTTGACCCCAGTTTGGGGGTTAACTATTTACCCATATCTGGGACCCTAACAGGGGCTACCACCCAGGGTCAGGGTGGACTTGCGAACACCAGCAATTAAGAGGTTGTTCCACGCACTTCAAAACCCCCTGATAAGAGGCCTTTTTGTTAAAAATATGGAACGCTTCATGAATTTCCGTCTCATCCTTGCTCAGGGGCCATGCTAATCTTCTCAAATTTTAGTATATGTACCGTCGAAGCGAGTACCTAGTAATATTTGTATGAGAGTGAATGTATCGATCTCAATTGTAATTCGAACTCGATTTCACCAATTATTCGTTTTGAGCGTCTAACCATTATACCAACTGCACATCCTTGTTCATAATTGCAGGTCATAAAATCAGCCAAAATTCATATTTATTGAAAGGAGAACGAATGAATAAAGAAGAACAATAAATATCATGGTAATTGTTCGGATGAGCTCTTCGCTATGATACCTAGCCTTTTTTTTTAAAATTTAAGCGCAGTACGAGACTGACGTCGAGATCTCATCAATTTAAAGTTGAGCTGGCTAGATATAGCCGTAAGTTCTATGCTAACAGTTTCTTCTCTCGCACTTCTCGCTTGTGGAACTGCTCTTCCGGTTCTATGCTTTCCAAAAATAATCAGTAAAAATTTAAATGCAATGTCAATCGCTATCTACTGCCCTCCTTATTACTCTTTTCTCTTCCCGCACATTATTAATGTTTCCGTTTCTTATTCTTCCACACCCTGTAACCCATCGTGTCTTAGTGGCTTTACTGCTTAACATCAGGGGATACCGATTAAAAAAAAATACCGCCATATTCCGTGATTACATCAGATTGTTTTAAATAATTAATAGAATATTTTAAAATTTAAATAAATTCCCAATCAGATTGTTTTTCTATTCCTGTTTTACTTATTTCTTTAGTGTGTCGTGGTTAATTTTATTTTCTTAATAAATATAACTTTAATACCTCGTAAATGATCGAGTTATTCATGCATCTTTAGACACCAGAGAAGATTGTTACTCTAAATATCTGAAGTTTTCTGTACGTATTTAAGCTATGCGTAAAGCCATATGCAATTCTAACTTCATATGTAGGGTTGTTTTTATCTGACTAAAACCGAGAGTGATAGAGTAATATTTTCCAATAGCTTTTTTAAATGCCTGTTCCCATAACTAAATGTTTTTTTTTAAAATGGACTGGTTTAAACATTTCGTTTTTCCTTTTTAAACTAGACTATTGAAAACCAATTAACTGACACAATATGGCGTCGGGTATCGTCTGACAAAAACAAAAAAAAAATTGGTAATAGTATATTGTTCCTCGCATTCCGCCATTTTTTCAAAAGTTTCAACCTGCACACATATATATATATATATATATATATATATATATATATATATATATATATATATATATATATATATATGGTTCATTAAATGATGAATCAGGATTAGGCATACTGTTGTTAAAAAAATTTGTTTAGTTAGACGTTTTTTGTTTTAAAAAAAGAGGGTTATTTAAAGAAAGTTAAAATACTGGAAAAAAAATGATTCATGTATTTTTCAGCATTACTTTATTGAAAATAAGTTCCAATTTAATGAAAAGACATGATGCTTTCACCAAAAATAAATCTCCAATATTTATCCCCCATTTCTCAGACCTAAAAAAATGTTTCTTATTTTTTTCATTAATTTGACATCAAGGATATAAAGTCACTAAGATGCATGGACTAGAAATGGAAAAAAGAGATTGTGAGAAAAAGAAAATAATTTATTAAGAAGAGAAACAAAAAAGCAAAGAATTAAGAAAAATGGAGGTTAATGAATGTTCAAATTCATTTAATTTTTTGACCGAGTTCAAACCCAGAAGAGCAGTCCACAAGTGAGAAGTACCCAAGAAGAATTTAACATAGAACTTACAGAAATACCTTTGTAAATGTGAAATGATATTTATTCTTTCCTCTCACCGATCAGGTTCTTTCTTAAACTAAATAAAGTCTAGATAGTTCAAGTTTGTTCTGAATAAATGTTTGAAAATATTTATAGAAAAGGCACAGTAAATGATTTTATAGAAAAGGCAAAGTAAACTGTGGTCTCAGTGTGGAATAATAGTGTATTTGTATCTGAAACATTACTCTCATCGAATGGCATTATTGTGATTGTGTTTCCTGTATCTACACCTGTTTCATTATAAATAAATAGAAGGCCTTTCAAATTGGCCCTTTGTGTGTATATGTGTCTGTGTGTTTGTGTGTCTATTTATTTTTAATGTATAGATTTGGTTTTATGCAGCAAATATTTGAACAAAATTTATTTCCTTCATGTAATGTTTGATTGTATGGTCATCATCTATAATGACTGCTAGAATATAAATGTAAATTTATTTCAGGATTCTATCTATTTATTTATCTATCTATCTATATATATTCTATATGCCTACTTTTGCACTGGTTAAATACAATATCTATCTACATGTCTAAATCTGCCTATATCTATGATCATCTCTAAATCTATATATATATCATTTATAGAATATATTTATATATACATAGTCACATATTTATAGAAACTGTTTGGTACATATCCAGGTAAAATCCAGAAAATCAAATGCTTATTTTTTAGGTAATTCCTTCACACTCTAATCTGAACCCTGTTAGATCAAGTGAATCTTGGTTTCAAGAAGTTTTAAAAGCACTGAAAAAATTCATTTTGTCTTAAGTTTTTTAAAGGACCCATTTTTTTTTAATTTTGTGAAGAATTTTTATTTGATGAGGAAACAAAATTAATGGTAGGATTTTATTGAAATAAATAAACTGTCTTGAGAGAAATTTGAAGTCTTTCAAACAATATTTTCTATTTTTGAATCTGATAAATTTATATTTATAAAAGGTATTTGAATATAATATATATATCATATATATATAAATTTCTTCCGTTGAGAATTTATCTTTTCCTTTGGATCTAAGAAAAAGAATAAAGCATCCATTAAGCTCAGGCTTTTTTTGTTTCATGCAGAATCTTGGATCATATACCAGCATCACTTGCCACTTCCTTGAAGGCTTTCACCAATGGAGAACCTCATAGGGAATTAACAATAGAAAGAATGGAATACCTGACAAATTAGAAACATTCTAAACATCCTAAACATCCTACTGTTCTAGTCAATAAAGTTTTGTGATGGAACATTCCAACCAAAGAAGAAACATGGTTTCTCTAAAAAAGAAACAAATCTCAGGACAAAAATGAATAATGAAGATAGTGAACAGCGTATCTTTGACCACAAGATCTTCCATGTTCCCCCAAAAAAAACCTTAATGAATCTGTCCCCAGAATAAGGGCATCAAGGGCGCTCGTTCCAAACAAACAATCTATACCTTAAATGCAATTGCAAAAAATATTCAGACAGTAACAAATGGATCATTCGATTTCTTGTTAGATGTGTCCCAGCCATGACATCTATTATATGTAAATATATCTATGTATGTATTTTATGCATTGATCATCTTTGTTTTTATCTATGTTATTTTCCTCTATTCTATCATATCTATCTATCTATCTATCTATCTAAGCTCTTTTCATTAGATATGCTTTTTGATTATCTATCTATCCATGCTTTTCAGATCTATCTATCTATCTCATCTATCTATCTATCTATCTATCCATCTATGGTTCATTCTTCGATCTATGTCCATCCAGTTCAGAAATATCCTATCTATCTATCTATTTATTCTATCTATCATATCTATCTATTGAAAGACCGTCTATCTATCCATCCTTTTTATTATCTATCTATGTCCAATCTATCTATCATCTATTATCTATCTATCAATCTATCATCTATTTCAGATTAGATGAACTCCATGGTTAAAATCTATCTATTTAGTATTGAGTCTTTGTTCAGATCTATCAATCTCAGTTTTTCAGATCATCTATCTATCTATCTATCTATCTATCTATCTATCTATCTATCTATATATCTGTATATATATATATGATCTGTGTGTTTTTTTAAATATCAAAGAAAATTTTATCAAACAGTGGTTTCCCCTAAAAGGGTGAAGGTTTATATCCCTTCAGAGACATTACTTTCTTTATTAAGATTCTCAAATGTACAGGCCAGCAGATGCAATTCATTGTTTTTTAAAAAAACAAGAAAAAAAGAGAGACAACTCAAATTTTAATGTTTATTTTGTTAAGAAATATATATATATTTATATATATATATATATATATTTATGTATATTGATATATATATATATATATATATATAAATGCATGTAATGTATGTTTTACTAACAAAACACTTCGGTTTATGTTTTACTAACAAATACAAGATACCAAAGTAAAAAAGGTAAAAAAGAAAGAACAAAACATGGATGTTAATTCCGAAAATAATCAGAATAAATACAGTCATAATTTAACAAATGTATTTTAAAAAACCTTGTTATGTCTCTTGATATCAAAATGCTAAATTAAAAAAGTTTATCTTAAAATGTTATCTTTTAGAATTACTTTAATCCATGTTTTTGATGTAATACAATCTTTATTAGGTTTCACCTTGTGGAGTGTGTAGAAATGTAGTTGTTTAGTCTTACATATAGGTTCATATATACAGTCTTATTTTTATGTATAGTTGTTATATATATATATTTTATCTAAAAGGTTTATTGAATGATGCTCAATTTATACATTCAACACACACACTGAATTAAGTGCATTGACATATATATATATTATGCTGAAAAATATTCAATTGATTTGCTAAATTTTGAAAATACATTTTCATGATAAACATTGTATATTAGGACTAAATTTCTTAAAGAAAACACATCCCTTTATTCAAAATAGGATCAATGTAAGTCTAGTACATTTACCATCCATGTTTGACAAAATCTGGAAGCATCATCTACCATGTATTCAATTGTGACAGAAAAATAATCCATTCATCTTTTTATTACTTAAAACTTCCAAGCACCAAATGCTTTATCAATAATTAAATGATTTGTATTGGATAACAACTCCATTAAACAAATAAATTAAATCAGACCAAACCAGTGATGTCATTTTGAAAATATTGTCCTCATCTTTTAATTTTATCAGTCATATTCTTAATTAAACATTAACCACTTCTTCTTAGGATGTCAAAAATATATTGTGAGGAAGAATTGCCCATGGAAAAAAAGCAAAATAAAAGAAAAACTCATGAAAAACTCAAGGAACTGATCACTTTTATCACTGATGTTCCTAGGAAATAGATGTGACTTCATCTCAACAAAAAGGGAGAAATCATCTGAAAATATCTGTTATGGTCCAAGTTCCTTGTACCACGGTGATGGTCCAAGGTTAGAACCAATGAAAGAATAACATGAACACAGGTATGGAATACAAAGATATATTACAACAGAAATATAATACAAAGAAGTAGAAGTATTAGTAATGACTATCAGATTTGGTAAGAGTGAACTATGTTGTCTCGACAAGTATCACTATTCCAATATCCTTAGAATATGCTCTCAATTATCTCTCCTCGTCTTACAATATGGGTATTTTCTAAGCGTTCTTAGATGTGGCACAAGGCCGAAAGTATGGGGCACCTAATGAGGATCGAACTCACTTTTCAGTCGTAACTGATCTAGCGAGACAAGCTTGCTAACCATTACGCCACGCGGAGGTGACCTCGTCTTACAATATGCTCATACCTCTTGAGAGGCGCAGTATTTAAAATGTCAGGAATAGTCCATTATTATTATGGGTAAGTTCCCATAACAATCTTTTAGTCACTTTCACCCTAAACAAGCTGATAATGCCAGTAAAACGCAAGACGTTTACTGGGAGTGAAAGAGATTGAGAAAACTTTAATTAGGAGAATAAAAGAACAGAATTCTAGTTGACAGAAGATGATGATTGGCATTGCACTTAAATGTTTGAAGAGAGTTCCACATGTGAGAAGTACGAGCAAAGAAACTATTAGAATAAAACTCGCGGTTGCATCTAGCCAGTGCAGCATTAAAAGGTGAGACATAGTTGTCAATCTAGTCGTACGTTTAAATTCATGAAGCCAAGGTATACCAAAGAGGAAAACTCATCAGAACAATTGCCATGAATATATTTGTAGAAAAGACAGAGGGTAGTCACATCGCGGTTGTCGGAAACAAACTGAAGATGAGATGCCAGGTTAGGATCGATTACATTGCAGATCCTTCTTTGGATTTTATCAAGAACCTTGAGATGAATAGCAGAAGCACCAGAACAGATATGGCAACAATATTCAATGCACTGACAGATGGTAGATTTATAAATGTGCAAGATGGACTCTGACAATAAAAAAAAAAAAAAGAAATTTCTGTCACGATGCAGTGACCCAAGTTTATTAAGTTGAGATGTCAGGTCAGGATGGATTGCATAAAAAAGGCTGTTCTTTTTTGTCAAGAAACCCGAAATATATTAGTAGGGGTATCAGAGATGTTAATCGCTTTATATATTTTATTGCGTGATACCACGTGTTTCAAATAAAAATACGTGGACATTTGCTGCTCTCCGAGAGGAGTGTTTATCCCCAATAGGGATTGCTTCTTGTCTAAGAATACGCCGCTGTAATTTACAATAAATAAATAACTTTAAGGGCGTGTTATTTCTCGGAAAATGTAGCAGAAAAAATGCATCGGAATTTAGACTAGTGAAAGATGCCATTCAAAAACTTAGCAAAATGTTGAGAAACAGAAAAATTCCCTTGGAACCAAAAGATAAGAAAGCCTTATGTGGCTGGGAATGCTGGACTGCTTCCTCACAGATGAAAAGGAGACTTGAGAAAAAGACGTGTTTATACAGAATCCTGCTTAACATAGACGGAATATGTGGTCAATGTGGAAGTTTTAAAGAAAATAAATGCGAAACGAAAAGGACATTTTTGCTTACAATCAGAAAAAAAGGCTGTTAAAATATCTAGGTCATATGATGAAGAAAGAGGTCTTAGAGAATTTAACACTGATAGGACATAGTGGAAGCAAGACGGGCAAAAGGTAACAGCGAATAGCGTACCAAACGTTCTTGCGTAAATGCATTACTGCGAAATGTAGTGAGGAGACAAACATTGATAAGAACTATAAAACGATAGGAAGTTGAGGAGAGCTATGATCAGCCATAGTACTTAAAAAGGAAGAAGTGTGCAAGAGATTTATAGCGGCATTATTTGGTAAACCAAAATCTGTTCCTAAACGCAAATTATCGTAGCGAGACGAGAGAAAAATGGTCATTGAATCGAAGAAACACCCTAGATAAACAGCTACTCAAAAGCGAAATGATGTGAATTTTACAATTACTGTGGGTGTAGCTACTATCAAACGTTGACTAGAACGAAGCAATTTATTCGGTCAGATTACAGTTGGAAAATCTAAATTGACGAGAGAACGCAGTATATACACCAGAGGTCAACAGTTTGGTGCCACCCTTTGGATTTCAAAGAATCACCTACAAATTGAAACTACTGTTTACCAGCTCGCATCGGAACAGATTGACCTTCCCCCTTTCTGAAGAGTTTTATCATATATTCATTAATAATAATAATAAATATTCAATAATAATAATATGCAATAATAATATTATTCAATAAAAATCATAATAATAATGTTCAATAATAAAAATCGATTATAATAATATTCAATAATGATATTCAATAATTATGATAATAAATTCAATAATAATATCATTCAATAATAATAATAATGTATCCAACAATAATAATGATATTTAATAATAATAATATAAATAATATTAATAACATTTAATAATAATGATAATAATAATATTTAATAATAATATTCAATAATAATATTAATAATATTCAATTTTAATAATAATGATAATAATATGCAATATATATATATTTAATAATAATATTTAAAAATAATTATATTCAATAATATTAATAATATAATAATATTCGATAATTATATTCAATAATAATAATAATAATAATAAATAATAATAATTAATAATAATAATTAATAATAATATTCAATAATAATAAAAATATTTATAATAATAATAATGATAATAACGAAATTAATCCATTACTGCATAAAGTTTCCTTAAAGAATTAGCTTTTTTTTTTAACCCAGTTTGCTGTCTAATGGTAATCTAAGGACTGACGGATTTTAAAAAAAATTAGGTAGCCGCCTCTCTAAAAGATTGGACGCCATGCATTAATGAAGTTAATAGTTCTCAGTCTCCTAGCTTAGTAGGAATTAATTATTCCAAAGAAGTTATTAAACTTACTAATTATTAAATTCAGAGGGTTTCCCCAAACTTTTGGTCTGTAGTATATAGTATTAGTAGGCATCCGTTTACCCCGCAATGTAATGGTAGCACCCTGTTTGGTCAAAATTCAGTTCTTTGGTGGTGAAACTGGGGTGACGTCTCCAGGGCCCACGCCTGAGCGACGGTAATGCTGATTTATGCCCCCGCCACTATCTTGGCCGTACCGAAAATTAAAAATAAATACAGGGGATTCTCGAATTACGTCGGAGATTCGTTCCTACGGCGCGGCGTAACCTGATTTTCGACGTAGGTCGGAACCCACCTACATAAGCACCCACGAGTCTGATGATTGTTATTTCAAGAAATAAGTAGCGAATTTTGATAATAGGTTACATTTGTCATTCGTGTACATTTGTGCCTAGTCAGTTTTAACTGAGAAATGTTCCGTTTAACAATAGCAGGATATTCATATCGTCAGCAGGCAGATGCGATTTTTACATATGGCTGCGCGAATGGTAATGGACTCGAGGTTGCACGACTGTATCAGATTGCGTTTTCAGATCGAAGCCAGCCGAGTCCTCCAACTTTTGCAGCTGTTTATCGTTGCGTTGCTGAAACAGGGTCCGTCGCACCACAAACTATGGTAATAGGTATTTTGGGATTGTATTTTGGATTGTAAATTTAACAGCATTTACGGTAATCTTTAAACTTAACTCAGAACAAAGGATTTTCGGACATATGGTTATATGGGCTTCGTCCTGGTTTTAGCGTGAAGAACCCAACCCCTAAATTTGTAAAAGTATTTTGATACCTCTCTCTCTCTCTCTCTCTATATATATATATATATATATATATATATATATAATTATTTATTTAAAATATGATTCCAAATCGCTACATAAGAGGTCTCATGTTTCAAAACAAGAGCCGAAAACTTCAATATAATCCTTTAAATTAAATTGAGTTTAAATTAAAATGGGCTCCGTTCCATCTTCAAGCGAAATTTTTGTTGGAATAACGTATATCTGAAATTTACTTGTTTTAAAAATTGAAATCAAAATCTCCATGGTAACAGCAAGGGCGAATTGTTTAAATTGGGCAGGCGAGTGTAGGGTGTTAATAATAAGTAGTGGTATAGAGATACTTTCAAGATGCCAAGTCGGGGAAAGGTGGGTGTGTCTAAAATGAAACGGAACATCTATTAACCTTCGTCTAGTTTGTTTGTCTATGGAGATTTATTTATTTTATTTTATTTTATTTTATTATGAAAGGGAATTGTGCATATAAAAAAAATAAAATAAATAAACTGATTTAAAATAGGGTTTCTTCGAGTGTAGCGAAGAAACGATATTTTAAATCAGTTAATTTATAATATTTTTGCTCTGTAAATTTACATTGAGCACTGTTTTGTAATAATAAAAATATCAATTAAGAACACCGCATTATATATCTTACTGTTCTTACTTTTTTTATATATATATATATATATATATATATATATATATATATATATATATATATATATATATATATTGAAAAACGAATACGTCAGTGAAATCAAACTCATGACAAAACCCCTCTTTACAAAAATATGTCAATAAAACCCAATATACAAGCTGATTTCTTACAAATAATATATATTCTATTTATACGAACCTATCTTAAAAATTTTGGCATTAAATAGCCCATTGAGATGTTGATATGCCGTAAAACAAAAGAAACCAAACTTTATCCTACATTCTTTTTTTTTCTTCATTCGCTCCCCACGCCACTGCGTATTTTTTTCATTTTTCAGTTTTTTCTACCTACCTTATTAAGGCTTATTTTCTTTCTTTCTTTCTTTTGTTCGTACTTTTTACCTTCATTAAATCCATTTTTTATTCTTTATTTTCATTTATTTAATTTTTTTCCTTTCCTTCCAACATTATCATTCTTATTCTTCATTTTTTTCCTAGTTCTTTTCTTTCTTCCTTCTTCCCTTCTTAGTGTCATGTCTTTTATCGTTCATTTTTCCTTCTTTTTAACTCTTTCCTTCCTCCAATTTTTCATTTATTTTTAACTTTCTATCTTCCTCTTTTGTTTCATTCTTTTTCCCTCTTTAAACCTTTTTTTTTACTTTCTTATTTTTTAGTCATTTTATACTTTTTTCTCATTTAACGTTTTCATAGTTATTCTTAATTTTCCATTCCTTTCTTTGCATCTTAGTTTAATCTATCGTTCATTCCTTCAGATTACTATTTTATGTTTTATTCTTTCTTTCTATGCCCCTTTCTTCTTCCCTCTTTCTTTTTTCCCTTTCTTTCCTCTTCTTCCTTTCTTTTCCCTTTTCTTCTTTCTTTCCCCCTTTCTTCTTTTATTTCCCCTTTCTACTTCTTTCTTTTCCCCTTTTCTTTCTTTCTTTTCTCCTTTCTACTTCTTTCTTTTCCCCTTTTCTTTCTTTCTTTTCTCCTTTCTTCTTCCTTCTTTCTTTCCCTCTTTATTCTTTCTTTTCTTCTTCCTTCTTTCTTTTATCCTATTTTCTTTCTTGTCACTATCTTTCTCTTTCATTTTTTCTTCTTTTTAATGCTTCCTTCTGTCTTGAATTTCCTCAAATTCATTGTTTATTTTTCCTTTATTTCTTCCTTTCTTCTTCTCATTTAGTGGTATCCTCTTTATTCTTTATTTTTCTTGTCAATGTCATCTTTTTCCTTCATTTTTCTTTTTTGTTTCTTCTTTCCTTCTGTCGTTCATTTAATCAGGCTTTCTATTTATTTTATCCTTTATTCACTCTTTCTTTCTTTCTTCCTTCCTTATCACATAATTCTACCGTCTTTATTTTTCATTCTTCGTTTGTTTGTTCCTTCTTAATGCCATCTTCTTTCTCCTTCATTTTTCATTCCTTCCCTTGCTTCTTCATTCCCTCTGTCTTATTTTCTATCTTATCCCTAATTGCTTGCTTCTTTATTTATTTATTTATTTATTTATTCGCATGTCATCTTCTTTCTTCATTTTTCTTGGCTTCATCTTTCCTTCTGTCGTTTGTTTTTCAGGCTTTCAATCTATCTATTTTATCCTTTATTCCCTCTTTCTTTCTTACTTTCTCCTCACTTAAATCTATCGTCTTTATTCTTCATTTTTCGTTTTTTTATTCATTCTTCGTTTTAACCTATTGCCATTTTTATTATTTTAGTTATCATTTCCACTGTCGCAAAAGTCTTTAACGGTTTTTTGAAGGTGTGTGTATATATATATATATATATATATATATATATATATATATATATATATATATATATATATATATGACTCCATATGGTGAGAATTGTAGAACGTTTAATTTTAATTTTTTTTTTTTTTTTTTTTTAAATCTCGCCTTTTTATTTTTGGTGTTTTGTAACCGGAGATTTTGGACCACAAGATATTCTGTTACACCGCCCACTCTCTAAACCGTCACCGTTTTTCGCCAGAGGCAACATTTGCAGTCGTATTTAGTTCCTGAGAACACAAGATTCATAAAGTATTAAATGTGGGGAGGAGATAAAACTGGGGGAAATGCTAGAGCGATGTTGCATTTTCGGTTGTCTCAGGGGTTGGGAGAGGCGCGTCGGTGTGAGTATGAATGAACATCACGGAATGTGCACTACTGCAAATTGTTAAAAATAATGATGTAATTTGAATAGTGTTTGGCCGTCACGAGTCTTCTGCTACGTGAAATTCCTTTTTTTTTACGTCGTTTTAATCATAGAAGATTTGTCTCAAGTCGCAACTCGTGAGGATAAGCCGATCAAAGTTTATTTTTCAACAGGAGTTTGGTGTGGTTAGTTAACATTCTTATATTCAATCACCTCCGATAAAACCCTGAACCAGTCACGTCTGCAGTTGGAGCTTCGTCTCCAAATGTGATGGACAAACTCTCTGCCTCCGGGCAGAGAGGCCCCCCAGACGAGGCTATGTCGAAGGGCAGAGTCTCGTCTCCGGAAACAGCTACCCGACCCTGTTTTTATACATGGTCTATTGGGAATTTTTCGCCGAGCCTACGGGCTCCGATAACCCACATTAAAATCGGCCACATCTGACCGCGTGAGGCGGTTGGTAGATATCCTACTACCAGTCACGATGAACGGATGTTCCCTCAAGGAGGCACCGTGCTTTGAGAGAATATTGAGCCTCAAATTCCCACCAACCCCAAGTAGAAGACTTATATAAGATCTATCGCTAAAGATGCAGGTAAAATTATCGGCTCCCTATACCGCTCCAGTACGACACCTCATGCTATTCTCTCCCTTTACAAGAGCTATATCAGACCGAAAATGGACTACTGTTATATTTCGACAGGAGCAGCCTAGTTCTAACTTTCCAGTCTCGATAGAGTTCAAAAGTGTGTCCGAGTCCTTGTTGGAGAAGAATTATTTTCCACCGTTCAATCTCACTCCCACAGGCGGAATTTGGTGAGCCTTTCACTACTCTATCGCTATTTCTATTGAAAGTGCCGCAACAAACTATATTCTTTGGTTCCGCCATGTCTAAATTTCAAAGCTAACAACCGCCATGCCACCTACATAGTAGTAAACCATCCACATTCCTTCTGTATTCCATCAGCAAGAAGTAAGTCCTGCACAAACACTTTCTTCCTGCGAGCCATTGTCAACAGAAAACAACCCAAATCTTCCAAGGTGGTATATTTCATTTCATTGATATGTTCTTCAATCACAGGCAGTTACGAGAGGACCTGATGTCTCTTGCTGGAGACATACATCGCTACAACCATGGAAAGTACCCGAAAGAACAACATTCCTTGGTTTCACCACGATCAAAACTCCGCAATGTCACTTACATAGTAGTAAACCACCCACATTCCTTCCGTATTCCTTCGGTGGGAAGCAAGTTCCACTCGAACAGCTTCTTCCCGCGAATCGTTGCTCTGTGGAACAGACTCCCAGGAGAATGTTTCCCCGATCACTACAACCTTAACATGTTCCAATCTAGAGTTCCCTGTTATCTTCCCCTCCTCTCCATATAAATTACCCCTTATCATAACCCTCTACCTCGATTGGCCCCTGGCCATGTACAAGTTGGACCTTACTGTAAAAATAAAATAAAAAATAAAATAAAAGCAACATCTCTACTCCGACTGTGGATATCTTTGTTTTTTAACGTGCCGTGTTCCTTCAGGCGTTGGGTGATCATGGCTCTCCACGACTTCATATCCTTTGTGGCTTTAAGAAATGTCTATCGTCTTTATATCTATTCATTAGCAGAAGCTTTTATCATAGTCAAATTCTCCATGCTCTTTTCCTCATCATGTGTTTCAACTCTTTTCTGATCCTAAATAAACATGCTTTTTTTATTTCCTTAAATCTTCCCTGTTGCTTACACGTTCTTCTTCATGGCACTCTCTGCATCCTTCTATGGTCTTCAATTGTCCTCTTCATCCGTGAGGAAATTGTTCAGGTATTACATCACAGTTCAGCAATTCTTTGCTTTGTTTCTAACGAAAAATTTCCCGTTTTTTAGTACTTTACTAAGCTTTTGAAAGGCATCTTTCGCTATTCCAATACGTTTTCGGATTTCGGTGTCGCATTTTCTCTCATCTATGTGTAACAAATTGTGGCTTATATCTTGAGATATCCCATTTTCTAATGACCAGAGTCGCAGCAATTTTTGCATTTATTACCACCGGAGAGGAATGATGGCTGACAATGAAACAAAGGAAAGAAGAGTACCATTCCTAAAATAAATAGAGCGTGAGTGATATGCAATCCAAACCAGAACTCGAACATGTTTAGACGAATTTAATACTCAAGAGAAATTCGTGACGTCACATCACTTCCGCCTGTGTACAGTTTCGAATAAATATTTTCGGAAAATAGTGACAAGTTTCTTCATTTCAATTCTTTACTGTTGTTAACCTAATACAAGGCCCAAGAGCTACTCAATGTAGAGCGTTAGTGAATGAGGTTGTTGAAAGTAGATAACGGTTAACGCAAAACTTGAATCGGTTAAGATTGTCGTGAACGGAAAAGCATCCGTTTAAGAGTTTATTCCACAAAGCAGCGGTTCTTGGGAAGAAGCTGTCTAAATGGAACTTCCTCCTTACAAATGGAATACGAATGGATTGGAGATGATTACACCCTGCATACGTGGCATGACAGCCCTTAGCAGTAAATATCTGGACTGGTGGAATTATGGAATGTAGTTTGTCAAAACATTTGCCATGTAAAATGGTTCTGCATTTTATATATATATATATATATATATATATATATATATATATATATATATATATATATAAGTAGTGACTTTTTTGTCCACGTACAGAAAGTAGAAAACATTATTTTTACAAGACGTCTTAATTTTACTATTTAAAAATCCGTGTGAGCATTACAACCTGTATCGATATGTACACAAAATTTATTAAATTTTATATAAAACTACTATCAGTGTATGTCATTTATATAAAACTACCTTCAGGGTATATATATATATATATATATATATATATATATATATAAGCTGTATTATGAGATATCATGTTTATGCTTGGGTTCCATTCTCAAGCTGATTTTTTTATAGATGCTATATACAAATTAAATAATTTTAAACAATATATACTAATAATTTTAATAAAATTTATAGGTGGTTTGTAATAATAATTTTAGCGGATTATAATAATAATTTTAGGCAGTTCATAATAATTTTAAGCAGTTTATAATAACTTTAGATAGTTTATTATAATAATTTTAGGCAGTTCACAATAATAATTTTAGATGGTTTATTATAATAATTTTTGATGGTTTATAATAATAATTTTAAGCAGTTTGGAATAATATTTTTAGCGGCTTCATAATAATAATTTTAGGCAAGTCATAATAATTTTAGACGGTTTATAATAATTTTAGATGGTTTATTATAATAATTTTAGGCAGTTCACAATAATAATTTTAGATAGTTTATTATAATAATTTTAAGCAGTTCACAATAATAATTTTAGATAGTTTATTATAATAATTTCAGGCAGTTCACAATAATAATTTTAGATGGTTTATTATAATAATTTTTGATGGTTTATAATAAAAATTTTAGACGCTTTATAATAATATTTTTAGCGGCTTTATAATAATAATTTTAGGCAGTTCATAATAATAATTTTAGACGGTTTATAATTATTTTTGGCAGTTATAATAATAATTTTAAGCGGTTTGTAATGATAATTGTATGTAGCTTACAATAATTTCAAATGATTTATAATAGTAATTTTAGGCAGTTCATAATAATTTTAGGCAGTTCATAATAATTTTGGAAGGTTTATAATAATAATTTTACGCAGTTCATGATAAATTTAAGGGGTTTATAAGAATATGTATTTTAGGTGTAGCTAATATAAAATATTGTTTGCGATGAAATTATTTACTTTGTGGAATATCTGCTAGATAATAGACATCGGCAAAATATGAAACCGAAAAATGTTATGTGCTTTCAAAATTGAATGAAAATTACCAGACTAGAAAATGTCACTTTCTTTGGCGAATATTGATTTGGACTTCTTTTTTTTTTTTTTTTTTTTTTACCAAAGACAAGAGAAGAATCCTAAATTCGCGATTTAGTAAAATACGTTTTTGTCCTGCCACATGTATCAGAGAATAGTATTGATCCTTCCACTTTGGATGATGAAATGTTTCCCAACCTGCGACCTCTTTCTCAAAGATGAAAACACTAACTAACCTCTCGCAACACTCCCGCTATTTTTATGGCAGATGTTCAGGCGAACTACATTCCTTAGTTCCACCAGTCCCGACCATCACAGCCAAGAGCCGCCATGCTACATACAAAGCGTCGATTGGCACCTCGGCGTGATGTAATTGTTAGCAAGCTTGTCTCGCTAAAAAAGTTACGACTGAATAGTGAGTTCGATCCTCACTGGGTGCTTCATACTTATGCCACATCTAAGCTCCGCTTAGAAAATCATTTGGGCATCTCGAAGTGGTGCAATGGCTCAAAAGCTTGTCTTGCTAGATCAATTACGACTGAGTAGTGAGTTCGATCCTCACTGGGTGCCCCATACTTTCGGCCTTGGGCCACATCTAAGCCAGGCTTAGAAAATCACTACACAGCATCGACTCATGCCTATTCCCTTCATATTCCATTTATAAAGAGGAAGTTCCACTTCTCTAGAACTGTTGCAATGTGGAAACGACTCCTGAGAAGATGCTTCCTTGCACAT